GGAGGAGGAGGAGGAGGAGGAGGAGGAGGAAGTCGTCCAAACAAAGGTGGTATGAAATTAGGATATGCAGATCTGGTTGAATCATCCACTTTTCCACATTCTGCTAACGTATGACGTTTTGCTAATGATACACAGATTCCTCCTTGCTTCGGTAATTCTTCCATTGAACCAGCTAGTAATGATGCTTGATGGTAAACATTTTGATCACCTTCTTGAATTCGTCGAGAAAAATGATGATCATGCAAATTTTCATTCAATAATTGGTTTCTCTGCGATGGCAATACTATCATTTCACGTAATAATTGTTCAGATGTTGATTTTCGGATTTGCTCAGAATGTGAGGACATTGGATCAGCTTCTGATGAAATTTCCAATCGTGGTCTTCTAGATTTGCGACATGAGCGACTTCGAGATAAATTATCATTTCCACTTCGTCCAGTATTTTGCTGAAATGGTAACAAGCAACATGTCATTGTATATTTCAATGATATTGGGCCTGTTGATTATTACACATTTATTGTTCGTTTTTTCGATTTAGAAGAATCGGAGAATAAAACTTCAGATAACATTCTCACCACTTTTCCCGTACTTCGAGATATTTTCGGCTGTTCACGTTCCTTATTGTCTACTCCATCATTCTGTTGTTCACCTTCACGGTTTAGCTGTTGTTTAGACATGATTCATTTACACCTATAGAAAAATTCAATAGGTAATAAAAGAAAGAGTTAGAGATAAAGGATAAATACTTGGTGAAGTAGTTACAGTAACATTTCTGCCGCATTACTGTACTGTACTGTACTTCTTTATAATACTTGTTAATACTCCTTATGCGTCATCAATATGAAATTGTAATAACATTAGTCAATTGTACAAACGATATCATTATTTTACCACATAATGGTATCATTATCGTCCGCTGCACACATGATATCACTACAGTTATTGAAAGATTTATTGGCCAAGTTTATTGCCAATTTACTGTTATGCTTATAGATGTAAATGCTTTATTCATAAAAACCAAAAAAGTATATTTAAAAAAAAAATAGGAAAAGAGAAAGAGGAAAGAGATAGAAGAGAGACGAGATTAGTGAAGGATTTATTTCCTAAAATTTCTTTTTAATTTTTCATATTTTCCTAATTCAAAAATAACCATTCATATCATTGAAAAATTAAGAAATTAAATATAATAAATTATTTGAAACAAATGTACTAACGTATTTTAAAACACATAAGTAAATAGTAATTAAATGATACGAATACAATTAGGGGTAAATTAATAAAAATCTAATAAGTTATATTATATATACAAAGAATCACTGTCACTAAATATCATTAAATTAATAGCAAATTACCACTACCATATCAAGCACACCTCAAAATTCCGCAAGACTGATTTACTTCAACCGCACCAACAGGAATGATTGATAAAAAGTTTACTGGCTAGCAATTCTGCACCCTTTTTATTACTGATTTCTAATATTAATATGCAAATATTTGGTCACAAATGAATTTCGACAAAGTTATTTTTATAGCGGTTTTCTTTTCTTCTTTTTCATGTATGCATATAAACATGTATACACGCTTCTTCTGTAGCAGTCAGATTAGTCAGTTTAGTCCTTTTTTTTCTAAATTCAATTTTAAGATTTTCGAAAATTTAGTGCCAAATGTGACACCTTTTCAAGTTCAAAAAGCAAAATATGAGATAACTGTCCAACTTGGAAAGAATAGATGAAAAAAGATTACGAGCGTTCTAAAATTATGTATAAATATTAAACGCTTGATTATAATAATCTAATAATCATAAATTAACTTTGTTCCTTTCTAGAGAAAATCTATATGAGCCGAATCTTCAGAACAAATGGTTTCGTTAAAAAAGTAGAAGAGTTGTTGAAAGTTGTCATTAAATAAATACTAAGTTTTCATCGCAGCTTCTATGCCTGAACAGATTATACAGTGTGATTCGGATTTATACAGTTTAGTCGGGGAAAATGGAGTGCTGATGATTAATAGTCAATATCAGTTGCCGATCCAAACAAATCTCTTTGTGAGGTGTATAAAGAATAGAATTCAGTGATGCATACATGTAAGCAAGGAATCCCACTCTGTCACCATCAATTGATTAATGACAGGGTACAATTCCTTTCCTTTACCATCCATGGTATGGTAAAAATCTTAGCCATCTCGATGACCTCAACTATCTATGTTTCAAAATTATTTCTTTTTTCTTTTATTGAATGAAAAAACTCAGCGAACAAAAGTATTCAAATAGTAAACAAGAACGGTCAAACCAGTTAAAAGTATAACATGCTTAATACACACATTTGGAAGCAGATCAGCTATTTGAATGAATGATCAAATGTCCCAAAGAAAAAAAAAATGAAAAACTCTGAATACCATACTTTAAGTTCCTATGAATATTCTAGATAATATCCAGACAAGAAAAGATCGCTATTATATTATGATAGGCCTTAAACATAGCATTTCCCGTAAATATCTAGTTACAGAGTAAATTGCAATAAACGAAACAAAATTAATAAACATATTAAACATAGTTCAAAATAAAGATCTCGAATGACAGTATTCTTATCGCACGATATTAAAAATTTATAAGCAATATTTCACGAAGTTTCATACTGAAAATGGAATAAAAACTGCGCATTAGACTGCACATTAGGACAAAAGTTAACTTTAATATCGATGGAAGAACAGGATGGTAGACATCTTTCTGCTTCCGGAAGAAAATGAACGCCTTGTCGATGCGAAATAGACCACTTTGGTCGTCCGCCTATTACAGGATTGTTTAAAAGTCCGCTAGTTAATCGATAACCGTCATGCAGCCAATCCATCCAGAAAATGATAGCATTTGTACCAATCCTGAAAAGTGTCAAGGAAAGTCTTTTTTGAATTGCATTTCCAAATTACAAAAAAAATTTAAGCACATGACGTAATAACCATTGGAAACCTACATGGAAGGAGCAATTTTTGTCTTAAAGGATGTATGAGTCGGAGGTTTGTTAAAATCGAATTGACCAAGCACAACTGACTCCCCAGTTACGATCGAAGGATATTCCCATAGCGGATGGGGTTCAACCATTGCATCGACAGCACTTCGAGCTCTGATAATCACATCATCAAAGGGCGTCAAATCGAAGCCTTCCACGATACCGAATGGGGCTGCTATTTTCCACAACTCATCGAATTTGACTGGCATTGCATACATGATGCCTTTCTGCAAAACATTCCACGAAGTTGTTTTTCGGAATCTCTCCAATACTAACAATTGCAATTTCCTCAATAGAAATGAGCTTAATTTCTGGTATTATAACAATTGGTCAAATAAAACCGCATACCCTTGGTGATAATGGACAATATCTGGATTCGAAGGATTTTAACAAGTTACGTGCCATAAACCAGAAGCACAGATTGTCCCACGGAAGAAAAGAGAACTGATAAAACGGTTCTGATACAATAGCATCAACCTAAAAAACAAAAATTAGTAATATACAAAAGTGAATTCAAAAAAAAGACGAGTCAACAACTTTAAACAATGCAATCTTCGATTGCTCGCCACAATTATCATCCTAAAGGCTCATAGCTAACTTCTAGAGACAATCTGTTGTAAAATTTACTTCATGACAAGAAACAGAAGCATGATCTTCATATACTTGGATATTCTTTATTTGATTTTCCTCAATGTAAGCCGAAATGATTCCTACAAAATGGTCATCTGGTTCAACAATTTGGACTTCTTTTGCATATTTTGCAAGCAACAAACTCATAAGCGACGCGTTATCAAGAAGAGCTACCGATTTTCCTGTAAAATTCTGCAAAGAAATTATATAAATTATTCAAAAAAAAGATCATCGCTCCCTAACTTAAGCAATCACGTCAGCAATATGATCATAACAGATGGGAAAGAATACGATCTGTTAAATTACAAATAAATCATTATTTGCTAAAATATTTAGAATGGAATAGAACACTAATCATCATATTATGAAAGCAAACAAAGAGGAAATTTCAAATAATGCTTGAAATGAAACGCAATCTAATCTGTCTCATGAGTTAGCTTTTCATTAAACATTCATCTGACTTAAATAAAAAGAATGTTTTTTTCCGAATTCATTTTCCTTATTTATATTTTTTGTGATGTTTACTCTACTTGGTGTTCTTTCAGTGTGGTTTTGCAAAATAATCCACGAAAAATGCAAGAGTTTTAAAACAATGCTCTTTAACTATATCGTAGCTTAAGCTTAATAAATCTAAATATAGAAACATATAAAAAGTCAATAAGTTATAGCCCGCTTAAAAAACGAATTAAAAAGACATCACAAAAAATTATTTCAAAAAATTTTAAAATAATAAAACTCCTCAAAAAGTATTACAGTTAAATACATCTCAATTGATAGAATCCGAAGAAATCTTAAATAAATGAAATTTGAAAAGAAACATAATTTTACCTCTTTCAAGAAATGATCAAAAGCAACATCCTCATCAAGTTCATTTAAGCGATGAATTGCATTCCGTGAGCAAGCAACATGCACTTTACATCGACAAAAATTGGGTTCAAAGGTATCGGATCTAAACATAAGATTACCTCATTCATTCCGCTAAAAAACTTAAAATTCAAGTAAAAATTATAGTTGAATAAAAATAGTTGGAATAAGACTTTATAATTGAATAAAAATTTCGAGCTACATTTCTATAATTCAAAATAATTCAAAAATACATACTCATCTTGAGGTAGAGCAAACCAGAAAGAGAATTCATCATGACAACAACGAAGTGAAACTGTTTCGTTTTTTCGAACCTGAATACTTTGAGCAAGGTAATAAACACCTTGCACCCAATGGTCTCGCCACTTCGCTTCTTTGTTCCACCATTTTGGAGTGGTACTTAATATATTCTGTCCTAAAAAATAACTTATTCCACAAATAAACAAAAAACATTGCAAAGCAATAGCCTTTTTTCTTGGTTCTTCAAACTGATATACTTTTGGTTTCAAATTGAAAAAAGATAACCAAAACATCCAAAAATTTTATATACTCACCCGTACCATCCATATCAAGTTCCCACCACATTAAAATTGCTTCAAAAGTGCCATCTAATTGAGCATCAAATGTTCTGACATTTGTTTCGTTATAATTAATGGAACAACCATCTTCAAAATTGAAACTATAATTCAATAAATGACGTTTTTATATCACGAATTCGATTGAAATAAATAATGCTTTGACTTTCTGACTTTTTAAGATATCGCTTTTCAAATATTACTAGTTCAAAAGACTTTACCGCTTAAATTATATTAAAAAAGTAAACATATTTTTTAAAAATAGCACTGTAAGGAAAAACAATGAAAAAAAAACCTGAAAGCCACAAATGGTTCTGCAAGTGCGCAAATTTCTTCTTTTGGCACTTCCGAAATGTGGATATCATGTATGGCTCCGGCACCGGGACATCTTTTACAAACTTCTGGGACTTTGAAGTGCCGAAACGGAAGCCGATGAAAACGCATAAGAAAATCACTTTGTACGGGAACTAACAAAACCTTTGCTGACGCTGGGATTACTCTACAACCGGGCTGAAAGTAATCCCTTTTCTTTAAAAAAAAAAATTAGATCTAAAGAATGCTGCACTGTTGGTTCGATCGGATTAATCATAACAAACCTTCACTAATTTTTGGTGTGCTTCTTTGAAAGTTCGTAAAGCACCTTCACCAATTAATTCAGTATCAAATACTTCAGCGACGACTACATCTCCTTTTTCAATAGTACTAACTGCAAAAAGAAAAGTGTTTATATTCAAATAAATCAAAATGAAATTTCAAAAAAAGGAAAATCCCACCGACTTTGTTCATCCGTCAGCTCCGTTGATCGCGATGCAATCAAACGTATTTGTCCACTGTAGCCATTTTTTTGGACAATTTCCTCCGCGCACTTCGCTATTGGCTCCAACATTTCCAAAGCTGTCACACTGTCAGCACCGGCTCGCATAGCCATCATTGACAATAAACCAGTACCAGCACCAATGTCAATTACATGTACTTTCTCCTTCGTTTTTTTAAGCTAAAAAGTTGAATTTCGTAACACCCAATAAAAATACATGATAGCACTTATAAGGCTAAACTGCACTGAAATTCTAAATTTTTTATCAAATTTTTTCTAGAAGTTTAAATACTGTCAAAATTGGATGTTATATAGAAGTATAAACATCGCTATATCAGCTGCTCTTCAAATACAGGGAGAAAAATAAAGCAAAATAATATCTAATGGATCAGTGCTAAAAAAAATTTTTCCATGACTAAATTCTTTTTCAAACATTCACAGCATGGAAGAATCACAACAGAAACAAAATGCAAATGTAGTAAACGACATAGATACTGTCTTTGACTCAACATACCTCACCAATTACTGATTTTAGTGCAAGTTCATACTTCTGGTTTCTTTCAAAATCATGAATCATATCTCCAAATCCACTACGAGCAATTTCTTGAGCAATATCATAGTCCTCATCCGCAACTTTCCATGTCTGTTTTCCAGTGATAGGATCGACCGTTTCCAAAAACATCTAAATTTAAGAAAAAAGAGACTGCCATGACTGTAAATATATGAAAAAGAAAAGAGCATAAATTGACCTGATTGATTATCCTTTCTAACAAGAAGATTTTAACGGCTAATATGAAGAAAAGATATGAAAAGTCTGTCCTAATTTCATTTACATATTCTACAATTTAAAACTAATTTAGAAGCTAAGCTAAAAATCGAATATACTAAGTTTTTCCTTTCCATTTTTTTTTTACTACAAAAATCTCCACTGACTACTGTACTTCAGTACATAAATTTTAAATTCTCAAAATTCGTTTCTCTGACCTGTTCTTTCCTAACACTTCAGCTACAAACTATAATTATGTATGTAATGAAAAACTATAATAGATATTGAAGAACACAAATACTACCTTAACGTCGGGCTTTTCTCGTAAACAATCTTGGAATCCAGATATGTAAACTTTAAGACGTGAAGAGAAAATCCTTGAAAACGCTCGACTTATAGTTGAAATTATTTTTACGAGCGGGTGTCTAGTCAAAAACTCTGAAAAAGGTCCATCAATGAATAAATGTATTTTCTCTGATAAAAGAGAAGAGAGCTGTTTAACCTATCAATATCTGTTTAACTATAATCATTTCTACAATACACTTATATGGTTGTATTTACAAAATTATGAGATTTATGTATAAATCATGCACAGATATATCTTTATGAATGAGTAAACTTGTTTAAAAATTTAAAGTCTGGAAAATTTACCAAGATAAATCGGTTTCCTGAAGTGAAAAATAACAACCAGAGAGGACTTTTTATCACACAAAATACTACACCAAAGAAAGCGAAGGTTTAAAAAATTAAAGTGACAGTTGTAAAATTAATGGGTTTTCAGTGGTCTTAAATTAAAAAAATTTTGAGCTGAAGTTTCAAATTTTTGAAACGAATCGTTGTTGACATAAAGGCATTTAAGAGGATGGCATACATACATATCGAAAATGGCAAGTCAGATTTGGTACAAGCACCGCTCGGGTAAAACGATACCGCATTGAAAAACGATAAAAACTTAAATAACTCCAATAATCTTTATAAAAACTTTCCTGAAGTTATTTTAGTAACTTTCCTGTTGAAAAAAGAGAAGAGCATGTGAATATTGAAACACCTTAGCAATAAAAGAGGAAAGAAAATTATCATGCAAATTGAATATCAGCAAGTGAAGATGCAACTTTTTCAACATGCTTGTCTTCCGATTGTCCATTTTGTATAGTTCCATCATTCGACACGCTTTCATCACTTTTTACAATTGTTTTTGGCGCCGTATTATCCCTCAAAGAATATTTTCGTTCCTTATACTGTTTTCCTTTATCAATCTTCTCGCAAAACATTTTGTGATTACACCAATCCATTTTTTGGCAATCCGGGCGACAATAATATATGTTCTGAAATATATCAGAGTAAAGTAAGACCGTTTTTTTCGCTAATTTTCATTTGATTTAAATTGGATATGAAAACTATAAAGGAAAGAAAAGTTCTCCTAAGCGTGTGAAGTTGGATGGCCTAATATTCAGACTAAATTTCATTAATTAATAATTAAAAATTGGTAAAGCTAAATTTAGGCAACAAATCACCTTACAGCACCGTTTGGTGGAAGCAACAGCACCACAAGTTGCACAAAAATGAGAAGTTTCTACCATTCGTTGTCCCAAGAAGAGTGATGTGATTACATAAAATGCATCAGGCAAATTACCCTAAACAATCATTCTATAAATAAAACATTTTTAAACTTCTTAAAAGATGAAATTCAAGTTAGAAAATTTTTCATTGCTATTAACTTACAAACTCAACAGCTGCGAGATTTTTGATAAGTGCTTGGAAAAGTAAGCAATGGTGATATGGAAATGCCTGAACAGCATTCCTCAAGTAGCGTTCCAAATTTGGTCGTATCTGATAATTGTATTCCATCTTCAGCAATTGTTTAACATAATTTCTGATTATTGTGGATGTTTCATGTCCTTCCTTTTCCAAAACTGCTTCCACAGATCTACATGTATCTCGTATCGTATATAAAATTAACCACAGCTTCAATGACATAACCTGGAATTTAAAAAAAAAAAAGAAAAACATTAAAATACATATACGAAATAAAACAATACTAAATATGCAAAAAATAATCGTAATCAATAAACCATTTCATAATTTTGTTTCACGGAATTCTAGATAATCCAGATTGTTGCACATGTAATATTAACTACATCATTCTGACATGAATAATCCTTTTTTATTTAAGAGAAAAATTTCGGAAAGTTAGTTACAAAAATTGAATTATGCATACCTCATTAGATTCTTTGCATCGCAATTGTCTCTCGAAAATCCTATCCAAAACATAACAAAATTTCTGACGATGTTGCCATATTACTTGGTAACGATCACGCAGGAAAAGCATGACCTGAATGAGTAACAGGTAAGGCGTTTGTATTGAAGCAGATATGAAAGATCCGGAATTCGTCAGGAATTATCCCCCATATTCGCAGAAAAACTACCAGTAACAATTATAAAATACTACAAAAAATAAATGAATTATCACCAATTAATTATCACCTTCCTAAAAAAAGCTTTTTAAAAATGATTTAATGAAAAATAAGTTAATTAAAATAAATAAATTGCTTGATATCTTCTGTTATGTTACTTACCCAAACAGGATGTATTATATGAGTTTTGATCAAATCATGCAATGCTTGGGAAAACTCATTTGAATAAATTTCATTACTCTTATCCCCCTTAGGATGCAATAATATCTTGATTTCATCCAGCGCTACATAGTTGTTGATAATGCTAACGCATTCATGTTGTCCTACAAAATACAAAATACCAATCAAAAAGTTGGCATTTTCGAGGTAATATTTTTCGCGATAACAGTTCTTTCAACAAAGAAAATGAATTTACATCAAAAAGTAAAGAGGCAGCACAAGCAAAAAAAATAGTACATTAAAAATTACAAAAATCTTTTACTTGAAAATAATCTTAAAAATAAAATTTTTTAACCCCCAGTGGGTTAAAAAAAAAACCAAGGACTTTTTGAAAACCAAGGACTGAGAAATTTAGAAATGTTTGACTCAAACTTATCCTCATGAAATAGTATCTCTGCTTACTTTTTACGGAGAATGTTTTGATTGTTAAAAAATTTTTCATCAAATTCATTAAAATTTTTTTATCGAAAATCAGATCACATGCAAAGAAATACAAAATAAACAAACTGACCGACAAAAGCTGCCATTTCTGCGGCTGTTTTGCCAATTGCATTCGTCGAATAAACATGTGCCCCATAATCTAACAACAACTGACATATCCCTGCAAGACACACTCATAATATCACATTCCAAGCAATCAAATAATAATTTATGTAATTAAGCAAACAAAACGACAACTTGAATAAATAACAAACAGATTTTTATTTAATAAACAATTAATACTTTTTTTACAATCGAATATAACAACAAAGTTAAATTAAAATAACTGAAGCTATTTGGAAAATTATTTTTCGAATTAATGTTGACAGAAGCTAAGTACAAAAATAACCTTGATGACCAGCAATAGCTGCAAACATGAGTGATTTATAACCACAGTCATGAGTACTGCTATTTGGATCGACACCATTAGCTAATAAAAATCGAACTACGTCTATAAGACCTGACCAGCTTGCTTGATCCAGAAGTGACATACCATTCTAAAACAATACGTAAGTTATCATTTCGAAAGATAAAGCTTAAAAAAGTGCAAATTTTCAAGTGAATATAATTACTCATTTTCATACATCAAATATTCTTAACATTATACAAATGGAAGTAATAATTAAGTCCAGGAACTGAACAAACCTTATCAGTGCAATTAAGTGGAACACGTGCACTCTTCAGAATTTGCAAAACTTCTTTCGCATTCTCTAAATGGAAAAGAGAATTTCAAACTCAGTTACCCATTTAAATCTCGATTTTATAAACTGATTTTTTAGTTGGCAAAGCATTTAACCAAAATATTCATGCCACAATTAACATGATAAAGAAATTGCAAGCCGGTCTTCCTGGCAGGCTAACGCTATTAAGATACCTGTAGTTCAGTTCTTGATAGTTTATTCGCTTAAATCTTCAGAAATAAGAATTTAAGTTCTATGTTGTATATACAATTCGCAGACAGAACAAATAATAACAGAAGAAGAGAATAACTTGAAACATTACTTTCTTTGATCAGATTGAATATCCTTCCTGTATCTTCTTCCATGTCATATTTTGGGATTACCATTGCTGCTTCTAAGTTATTCATTTTAAAATACTGCAATGAAAAAGGAAGCTTAACAATTCAAGGCCTAAGTCCAGAACCATAATGTTACAGAGTAATGAAATTACGAATATTGAGCCTAAAAATCTATCGATTTTTTGACTTTTATTTATAAAACCAGAAAATTATGAGATTTCTTTCAGCATACTTGTGAATCGACCAATAATCTTACAAAAATTTTATATGACATGATAGAAAAAGAAAGAAATGACCAATTTTTATCCGTAATTTTTCTGCTTAAAGTTGATTGCACTCATAATTCTCCGGCAAAATAGTCCAATTTCATGATTTCTCTACCCCCTCATAACCTGAAATCTCTAATGAAATCTGAAATAGTCCCGAAAACCTGAAAATGGGGATCAATATCTACTATTTAGAAATATCATACAACATTTTGTTTGAAACATATCCGAATGAACTAAAAAAATTTATGGAAAACATTCGTGCAACTGGAACAGCATATACCAATGAGTGGTTAGCTTGTCACACTACCCAAGAAGCATGATATTTATAAAGTGAAGAAGAGGTGTTGTTGCTAAGGTAACGACAGACAATCAATTATGCTAAAAACTTGGCTCTTTTCTTAACATAAAACTGCTGAATGCAGAAAACTTTCCATGCCTTAGTCTCACTGAATCAATCAATATGGTGCTTTTCTTAGAATTACTATGATGTTTGACATGCAATAAAATGTAATCTTAAATTTTGGTACATGTTTGCTTATTTGAAATAATCTTGAACGCTGTGAAACAATCAGAATTCAGAACAATTCTTATCTAAGCTTATCGTTCCTTATTATTACAACCAATTAATTTGAAATTTTTTCACTTTTTAGGTTTCATGTCAACGGGAAGGATTATGTTTTCATATTTGTTTCCTTCGGTAAAAGTGTATACGGAGATGAAAGATTACACAAACCTTGTCCAAATAAAGGAATAAAGTAAAATTGAACCTCCAACAAAGCACTTTACCAATTATACTGTAGCTTCTGTTCATTTATAGAATTATCGAGCAAATACCAAGCATACAGGCTGAAACTTGAAAAAAGGAATATACATAAGCCTGATTGTTCTTGTCATACAACTATCATTAAGATATGATATTCCTGAGATAATATATTTATCCTATCCTTTATTTTCTCTTCAATACTCTAGATTGGTATAGTGATCGTAATAAATAATTCTATAATTATAACGTAACAAAAGAAAATACATAAATACTATGATATACAGAAAAAAGGAAAAATAAAATATTAAAGTGCGAATACATTAGAAATGCTTGTATTTCATTTGAAGCTGTTGTTTTTCGAAGAAAACATAAAAGAAAAGTTCATTAATAGCTTAGTGGTAGAATGATACACTGGAAGATTTCACCAAATAATTGTGATACACAACTAAAATTTTCGACCCATGAGTATCGCTGAAAATACTGATGAATAGCTGGTAATTGTTATCCGTTGTTAGAAAAAATTCAGATAAGAAAAGAAACACGTACAATATGTAGCATTTGAAAATTATGTAGCCTACTGGCCTCAAAATAGATATGGTCACAGTAAAAAGTCTTTTTTTAGTTCAGTAAAATTTAGAATGCAAGCAACAATGATTAAAACCCATTAATAATATACTTTAATTCATAACAGAAAAGGCCATGTTGCTTTATGAACCTTTATAAGAGAATAAATAACGCAACTGCACAGCCAAAATATGACAATACAATTACATTGAAAAAGATATTTCTTCTTTTTAACAAATATTTTCATATAAAAAAAGATAAGACGATCATTTTCATCTCTTTACTCATCATTTTTCGTTTTTTTAGCTCATAACAATTCCACAGAGTTTATATAAAGAGAAGAAATTTAAATTGAAACATCCGAAAAAACATATGTTTCTTGTCAAATTTCTAGTTAGAGATCTCTAAAAAATTCCGAATTTAACTTATGATATTGCTTAAAGTGAATTTCGATAGATAACACTTCTAATCCTATATTTTATTATGAGAAGCGACCCTCTCTCATAATAAAATTCCCCGATACTTCATCACACCCTAACCCTAACCTAACATATGCACCCAATGCAGTGCACCACAGTGATAAACATGATAGATCATTGTGATGAACATGTGTCATAGTAACAAACATGAGCTATCATAGTGATAAATGTGAAATACACAATGTATTGTTAAGCAGCTGTTCCACTACTGCAGTGCCCCTCTATCCGATAAGGCAGCATAGCAGTCTGAGAGAATTTATCTTTGGCGTTATACTTTCAAAAGAATACTCAAGCTAAGCTGACTAGAAACAAAAAAGAATTCTGAATTATCTCCCAATGAAAATCCATCGGCTTTTCATATAATTTTCTTAGAAGTATCCATCAAAATGCTTACGATTTGCGATTTTTCTTCAGCAGATCTTAGCATTAACAACTATCATCTGATTTTTTTTTTCAACAGACAACAGTAGTGACAACTCTTACTCAGACGATGATCATGGAAATCTTAATATATAGTTTCTTATTCAAATTTGTACTAATAAACTGTTGTATTTTTTTTTAGATTAGCATTTCTTACCTCTTTACCACATAGAAGTGATCCATCCTTTCACAATTTGTCATTTTCTTGCATTCATCAACAGATGTATAATCAACCTGCAGTTCTTTTGTTTTTATACCTGCTCGCAAAAAAAAACATTTTTCTCCCCAATCTTTAGAAAATCTTGAAAGGAAATTTAATTTGTAACACTATATATTTCGGCGATTTAAACATAAGAAATGGAACATTAATCTTCTCTGTTTGAAATTAAATTTTACAAATTCTAAAAAATGACTCATTTGAATAATATCGAAGATCGATATTATATCCGATATTACATCCTTTTTTTGCCTTGCAAAACATTTATTTTGAATTCCATTGACCATTGGAATAGATTTCAGCTTTTTCTCTTTATCCAATAATGATGTTTTGAGTCAGATAAAGGTTTATCAGTGTTAATCAAAAGTACTTTGAACTCGAAATAATTAAAACAGCAAAACTACTGACGGTATACAAATAAGAACGAAGACATGGTTGATAAACTAAACAATGCGCATAATACTGGACAAATTGCAAATGAAAACAAATGGAAATAATTTTCTTTATGAAACTTCTGCAAATTGAAAACGAAGAGTTGAAAGTGATATCAAGAAACGAAATTTATCTTTATATAGGTAAACATCGAGTCAAGTTATTCTTCAATCATCAGGTTGCAATTCGCTGTAAGCACCTGAATTAACAGCATCAGCTAATTCAGTCTTACCAGCTTTCAAACGTTCACGAATCAACTGGGCTATCGCACGCTCCGTTCGTCTTTCCAATTTTTCCAACCTTTCCGCAACATCACGTTTTAGGTCCCAATCAATCTATTAACAAAATATTGCTAATTGTACTGAAGAATTCAAGTACTTGAAAAAACTTCACACGTTTAAGAGAACTGCGCATTTCAGATTATAATCTTTTCTATTTCCTTTCTTATCCTAACCTTTGCACGTCATTCATTAGCCACTTACTATGTTTTCAAAACAATTTGCATGCACTTTTTGATAGAGATAAAAAGTAGAAGAAAAAAAGGAAAGCAAGCAAACTTTTCGCGGCGCCAACGTTGTGATATCAATTTGTTCTACAGCCCTAGTATCTTGGGTGTCTATTAACTGATCAGCAATCTCTTTCTCGACAGCAAACAAATCCACATCATCACGTTTATCACCCAAATCATTTTGTGATTCATAATTTCGAAATGTAAGCTTCATCGACTTACTTGATGATCCAGACTCCTCTCCATCATCTGAAATATTTCTGTAAATAAATGATCACAATTTAATTAATCCATCAATGAGTTCTTTATCTAATTTGAATTCTCTTGTAGTCCTCATAGTATATACCCTTCCCTATCTTTAACTCCCCAACATCTACTCTTGATAGAATCCTATGTATATTTAGTGCATAAAGTAAAATGGGAACATGAATAACCTGCATTGGAAGACTTTTCAATGTTCTAGAAAAACCAGAAAACCTACTCTCCTGTAGCATTCGTTCACGCATTTCCTCTAGTCGTCGTTTTCTCTCATTAGCTGCTTCTTCTAAGCTAATACTCGTCTCGGCAATATCAATTTCTTGCTCTTCAATAAATCCATCAGTCATTTTTGATTCTTTACCAGTTCCAAGTGTCATTCTGAAATGATTTAGAATCACTCATTTTCTTTAGAATTCGTCAAAATTCTGAAAAGGCACTGCCCCCTCTCATCCACACGCATCGAACTTATTCAACACTAACTAATACCTTACCTTTAAGGAACAATAGCAAATATTCCTTAATGGGAATAAATAAAAGATAAAAATATGGCCGGTCAGAATATCCTCATCAATTTTATATCATCGATCTCCTTATGCTTCTATTATTTTGAAAAATTCAGAAATACAAGATATAAACTTTGAGTTTTTTCAACGACAAATTTCCAGAAATTTTATCAAATCAAGAAAAACATACAGTTTCTATAAGGTAAACAACCACATAAACAACAAATACAACATTTTCAGCCAACGTTCTTTCGATTATAACTTAGTTATTTTAGACTAGACTTACAAACCAAGGACAAGTAGGATATAAATGATCTTCACGGAACGTCTTCCTCTTCCTCCAAAAAAGTATTACAAAAGATAGCAGTCAAAAAGAAAACTATTAAATACTATATTCGATAGAACGTTCTCTCAAATATTTATAATAATCTTTCATTTTATCCCAGCCATTCTTCGGCTCCCATCGATTTTTCATTGCTGGTCCATCACCTTCCTCAAGCCTACAAATATATCATTTGTTATAAATTTATATATCTAAAAAAGAGTTTAAAAATTATTTCTAATCTATGAAGATGAATACCATTATATATGCCAATATTTGCTTTAATATCTTCCACTGTGCTATGTGTTTATATATTATAATTGATATTATGAAGAAAAAGATAATTAAATAAATTGAAAATTTATACAGTACTGAATGTAAATGAATTGAAAATTTATACAGTACTAAATAACATGAGTGGGCACGCCAGAGACACTAAGTCAGATGAAAAATACGTCTATACAGGAACAACTTTAGCTGAAGCAATGGAGTTATTTGCATTTCTGCTTGCAATGCTATCAATATTAGTTATTTAATAGGCTGCAACTAGGTATTCCAAGCATTTTTAAATAATCACTTTTTTGATTTCAAATTTTCTACTAACTTGCACTACTTCTTGCGCAGAACTAATTCCTACTGGTTTATCAAGATTCATATAATTAAATCAGCCCATAAACAATAACAACTTAGAATATTTAATCCACTTATTTTTAAATTGTAAGAAAAAGTAAATTAAATATTATAAAAGTCTCTTACGTAAATTTAGCCTATTTCAAATGCGAGATACAGCTTGCAGAGATTCTGCCATTTGACAAACAAATGATACAACCACCTGCATCAAACAGAACTACCACAAAACGAAAATACTGGAGGTGTTAACAGTTAGTACAAAATCGATAAGTTGCGGCGAATATCTCTTCTTTCCAGCCATAAACTTATTACATGTGTTATTTCATAAAGCTTTTTGAGAATAATAGGAAAAAAGATTGACCTTACAAAAATATTGATGTATCGATGTCTCGTGACAGTAATACGCTCACGTGCATGACGTCTATAACTTTTAACAATTTGACACTGAATTGGGAATGCTTCCGCAACATGCATATCCGATGGAAATTCAACATGAAGCTCTGTAGATGCTTTCTTTTTTGCTTCGATAAGAGCTTGTCTTAAAATCATACAGGCCTGAAACAGAAGAGACTAAGGGTGAGTAAAATTTAGAATTTTCGATTTTGTAAAACTTACTAATAACGACTAAACTTAACAAATAATATAAAGCATTTCCATGAGTCATCATAAGCTAATCCACCTTTTTATATGAATTCACATAAGCCAACACCAAATGTCCATTTTCGATCTTCACAATAAGCAAATAAGGTTAAAAAGTGGATTTTAAAGAAAATACTAAACCTTTTTACGTTGTAGTCTTAGCTGTTCCACTGCTTCGTCAACATTCAAACGCCAAATTAACTCACAAGCCATAAACATTCTTTTCGGACTACAATGGATCGATTCACGACAGTAATAAACTTGTCGCAAAAGTGGCAAACCAGTCTCAGGATTGACATAATTTGGTGGCCAAACAACCTGAAATTTAACGAAGAGCGTAAAATACTCATATAAATATATCAGTCGATTTTGGTGCATAACTTAAGAAGTTCAAAGAATATGGTCACAGAAATAAAACAGAAAGCATGAAGCTCATAAATCATATGAGATTTTTCGAAAACTAATATAATACTTTCCAAATATTAAACATGAAGTAGAAATTGCCGAACAAATGGATTCTCGCGATACAGATTTTGGTAACATTGAAATTAAGATGATTTTAAAGGACATAAAGTCAACCTTGTTATAGTAGTTCCACTTTTCAGGAGTCAATACATTTTGACCAATCATAGGATGTGCTTCACCTTCTACACCATCATGTCGTTTTTCCAAATCCCATTCAGGTGCATAATATAACTTCGGTCGTACCTTAATAGTGATTTTTCTTGAATAAATTACTTCACTCCATCAAAGATAATTATTTAAATTCTCGAAGATTTTCTATAATAATCCATATCTTAAGACACTTAAGAAATTTTTATTTGGAAAAACTGCCTCATATTTCTTTTCAAATAACTTAAACCCATGCCAATTACATTAAAGGAAATTCTTTCACCTCTTCATTACACTGAAGCTTTGGTTGTCGAAGTTTTATTCGTCGCTTCCATGCCTCTTCGATGGTAACATCGGTACCGGGATATAACGTCCCATGACACCTCTGAGGAATTTGTAGTGATGAAACTGATGGAAAAGACACCCGTAATGGACATTCCAAACAATGATGTGCATTCAGACATAAAAATCCTAACCGCTTCAGCATTTTTTTTTAAGACTAAACGTCTCGCATTATTCAGAAATCATTCCTTAAGTTTGTGAAATCTGAAACAATCCAAATACATACAACGATTTGATGAGTCACAAACCTGTAAGCATTAGGTTATCTGCGCGAGTTAATCATAGCAAAATCACCAACATCTCAAATTTCAACATTTCCGATATTATTGAAGATCAATTACATGCTAGCCACATCTTCGTTCATCTTTGATTTTACTTAACTTCAGTTTCGAAATATTAATTTTACCATTATATTGCAAAAGAAAACGAATAAAAATAGTGAGAATCAAAACAGATTTAATAAATCTATTCAATTTACTAATTTAAACAATTAGAGTGAAAAAGGAAAATTTTGTAATAATAATATTATCAATGTAATACAATTTGTCCATAACAATTAAAATTGTCTGTAATATTAGGAAACATTTTGGTTAACAAAAACCTTTCTTTTCTTTTTTCATTTTTGAAGAAATGAAAACAATTCATACGACATATCAAAACATCTTTAATACCATTCAAATTAATTGAAAATGAATTATATTTATACTTGCAAAGATCCTCTGTTAATCACCATATATGCTATCATAACCTAAACAAAACAACCAAAAATGTTGCTAATTCAAGAACATTTTATTTTGCAATTTCAAGCATCATATATTAAATAATTTGACGCTCATCTACGCTATCAAATATTATGATACTTGAATTTACAAATTTAAAATATCTGTACCTCCCTCCCTCCCCCCGCCCCCAAGCAAGTCAGTACAGACTTGATTTACACAAGTTTATTTGGATTCATTGTGCATAGTAAATTATCCAAAAAAAGGCACATTATAAAAAACTGGAATGTAAAATAGCATTAAAGCATTTCAAACTATTTGGTTTGTCACCGAAATAGCACTGTTGATAGTTACTGTATCTACAGATACTTATGAAAAATTACAAAAAATTGCTCTGACAATTGAATGAAACAAAAACCATTCACCTAATAAAAGACAAACTAAATATTAAATTGAATGTTTAGTATGAATTAAATCACGTAACTATAATTGTAACTAACAATGAAATTGCACTGATTAAAGTGATGAAATGATGCGAGTATAAAACTTTCCATTTTAACCTATAAAATCAAATCTCTTGTCTTCTAATACTAAAACTATTCAATCTTAACAATGGAAATAAAAACAAAACTAAAATGAACTTTGCCAAATAGCTTGAATTGATCGAGTATGACAAAATCAATGTAGAAATGAGAAAGTTGTGAAGATGAGAGAAAAAGAATTTTTACACAATCTCATTTCATAACCGAACAATAAATATCATAGAACAATAAATAAATATCATAAATATCATAACATAAATAGGCAGCTAAAATTTAATTTTGGGAAAGATTTACATATGATATGGCTATCCAACAATTATAATTACATAGTGTTCCTTTAGTTTTAGATAAAGCTCAGAAAAGATTGAAGCGAAAAGTGTAATGAACTAGAAGAAACTCTTTCCGATATAGGAAAAAAAGAATTCATCTATTCATTTAATAACATAGATACTGATGCCTTCGATGCTTTCAGTGCTTTGTATTCCAATGTTAAGCCAATGAAACCATGCCACAAGCAAAATCCTATTAATAATGTGAAAACAAAACGAAGTGTTAATGCCTGAAATATAAATTCAAATGAGGGCTTGGTTGTTCGCTAATGCAATAATACATAATAAGGTCAGCGAAAAACAATCAAAATTTGTAATTAGGCGTTTGGCAGTTCCTGAAGTTTCCTATAAAATATATTTTGACTAGTTCTCTTACAACTTTACTTATAATGTCATAATCAGACCTGATTTTGAAGCAAAAAATTTACCACCAGTTCGATAAGTGCAATGAAATAAATGCAAATTGAAAAACATCATTCCAGTTAAAAATTGCTTTTGCAATAGCCACTTTAAATTCAAATGCAGCACGTAAAAAAGAAATATAATCATCCACTAACCACGGTTTTAACATCAGGAATATGCTGCTCGGCAAAAAAAGTAGTCAGAATAAATCCAAGAAGGATAACAACTAAGCTAAGGAAAATAAAACGATCCCGATTGATGCGAGTTATTCCTTCCTGTTGGGTTTCAATAACTTTTTTCAGCAAATTCGGTGGAGTTAACGACAGACCCTCGGTAATCTGCAGTGATCGAAAATTAGCAAATTTTTTCATTTGAAATTTAGGCAACGGCAAAAACTGATTAAGCATATATATATATATACCTACTCGTAACTATAGGAATAAAATGAAGAAATTCTAAGCCCGATAATGCAAAAAACAAAAAAATACGTTCTACACTAATCAGAACCTAGCACAGCCAAGTACCATCTTTATAAAGATAGTAGCACAAACAAGATTTCTCAATTTCGACTGAATGTAAGGAAAAAAAGATGGAATTCAATTGGCTTTTTTTACATATTAAAAAGGAATAAGATTCAGGCATTTGGCTATACATGAATTCCTCATCAAAAGAGATCATCGTAATTAAAACAAAAATAGATAGATACTTCGTCATACTGCTCCGATACGGAAAATTCAGCATAAATTCCAGCATGATCACTATAATTGATTGATTTTTGGTCATGCACACGGTTCATCCTTATTTCACACAACTTCAATTCTATTTTACCTAAATAGAATGTATTTCATATATAAATTTTTTGACTGGACAACTTTCATTAAAAGTAGAAACTACTGGTAAAAATAAGACATAAGATTTTTTTTTGTCATAATCATGTACATCAGAATTCAGCAGGTTCCAACAACAATATTCTGAAAGAAAGAATTATGCATTCTCAAAAGCTACTGTAGTTTTCAGATAGTAAATTTAAATCAGTTCGTGAACAAATCATTGCTTGTCTAATAGGAGTTGTAACAATCAACATGGCTTCGTCAACCAGCAAAAAGTTCGCTTATTCTATTAGAAACCGTGCCTCGAGACTCGTAAAAAAAAACTCTTTTTCTTGCATTCTGTTGGTTGCGGAAGTCGTCCATGTAAAATGTCAGATAAATACGATGGACGAGGCAAATTTTCGCAAATTAATTTGTTCAACATTGATTGTGCGACGTGTATTACGCATTGTCACGGAGAACTCGGTCCCTTCTGCTGTTGAAGATGTTTCAGTTTTCGGTTTGTCACATTAGTTTATTGAGTTACTTTCTATTTCTAATAGTTTAAATAACTCAGAATTCTAAACGCTATGGTAATGCAAATCATCAAACAATCATCATGTTTTTTTAGAACATTTTGGAGTTTCTACCCCATCTAGACCACTAGAATGTTTATTGTTCGCTATCGTGTAAAAGTCATTTTTCATCAATCAAACTTACTTTTCCCACTCCTATACATAATATAATCCAAACGTTTTCCACAATTTTTTTTACTTTTAAGTCGTTGAGGTGTATAATAATTATCAAGCCTCTCGAAAGTTGCACCACAATCATCGGAACTATTCTGAAACAATAAAGAACAAATTTCTAAAGCCTGCCTTTTCCTAAGCAAAGATTTTTAGAATATTAAAGAAATTTAAAACGATGATAAAGCTGTTGGTACTAATCTTATTTTCCTTCTCAACTATGGTTCAAATTCTTGTACAATTATCAAAAAGCCTATCAACTGATCCTCATAAAACATAAGTGTATCATTTTCAGATAGATATTTTAACTTCACGTCAAAAAGTTTTCTCTCACTTTGTTCATTAGGTTCTTCTATTTATTTAGTTAAATTTTCCGAGTGTGACAAAATTATTTCTGTTTCAAAATGACATTAAAAATAACCGGTTTCTGAATCCAAGCATCGTTCAGATTTGCGTTTTTGATGATTAACTGGTAGGCAAGGTTGTCGGGTTCAATGTTAAAATCACCTGAAATAATAATCCACATAGTTTCAAACAAGAAAGGATGAACTATTTCGCTTAATTTATTCTCAGATTTTAAGGCTTCCAATTTTTGAAAAATCAGAGATATAATTCTCATGAAATTGGAATTGAAAATCCCATTCGCGATATGCAAAAAAACAGTGGTTGAACAGCATCAGTTATAGTGTAATACAGGATAGTGATGGCTGAGATGATAAGTCTTTCTCATAAACAACCGATTCTCAGTAAATGGTTCAGATAAGCTGACTGCAAAAGAATACAAACCAGCAAGAATTAAGGCATCGGCGGAATAACATGTGTGCTTGACAAACTGAGCCAGTTCAAAAGCCTGCGCAAGACGATGAGGTAAATATAAGTCTTTGTTAGGATTGTATTCAGCATGAAGCTACAAATTTAAATCTTAATCAAGATTGTTGGATTTAATTCATTTAAAAAACTCAAATACTCATGTGCTAAAAAAGAAAACAAACCTATAAAAAATTTATAAAATAGTTCAGCTTTGAAAAGTATTAGACGACGAGCGTAAAGGGAAAGAACTATAATTGTTTTGGTCCATACAAACTCATCCTTGCTCCTGCTACAGAAATTTCAGCAAAGTATTACTGAAGTTTATTTTAAAAAATCTTACATGAGCAGCATAAAAATTGATACGATATTGCTCAATTTCAATTTCTACTAAACCCACACCTTTTCCACCAAACCAATCACCCCTGAAATCGGAAAATATGAAGTTTGGAAAGGTTTAACATTTGTTAACGAGCCTTGTTACACCAAAATTAAAATACTTTCAGCAACTTCAGGACTTGTATTTCTCAATGACTACTAAACTCATGACAATAGATAAGTGCCAATAGCTCGATTAAAAGCACATGTCTGAGAAGTCAAAATTAACCGAGAAAATCCTGCCATAAACCAATGCGCGGAAATCATTCGGTCCAAACTTCTGACATTCTACTACCTGTTCCAGGAACTGAATAATAATAGCTTGAAAATCAGTATCGCTTTTCGATGATTGACATCGTTTAACATGTAGTAGTAGCAACATCAGCATCGTAAGAAATATGTCATGAATTAAA